AATTAATATTGTAATTGATTCTTTCCATGTTTAGTTGTTATTTTAGTCCTATTTAATGAGAGAACCTAAAGGAGTATCGAGTCTTTTATTGAGTATATTTAACAAACACTTAGTTCCCACACTTATAGGTATTATGTTCCTAGAAAAGAGGAAGAAACATTTATGGTTTCTTGAGCAAGATGAAAAGAAAAATAGGTATAACTAATGTGATTCACCAAATATTTTGTTTACAATAACAGCCAAACCATATTTGCAATCAAGGCAGAGCTGAGGTTTCATTTAGGTTGCAAAGGAAGCATATATTTATTTTTATAACAAAAAGGCAAACCCAAAGGGCAATGCCCATGGACTAGTAGAGGCTATTCTGCGAATGAAAATTCATTGACCAAATTTAAGAAGAATCACTTGTCAGCTAAAATGGCCACAATTATTAAGATGCTGAAATTCGTTGCTCGTAAATTATGAGAGAACAAGAGATATGTTGGATAAAGCAACTTTGAAGAGAATATCAACCTCAAATGATTTGTGTCGTTGACTAAAAGAAAAGTGGAGAGATGAATCAAAATTATTACTGGAAAAACCATAAGAGTTTTCTTATTTTAATTCTAAAAGGCAATATATAACGAAAGTAAGCTATTCAAAACATCAGCTGCCATCAATAGAATGATTAAAAGTTTCTTCTACTTATTCCTTCATTGCAAATCAGACTCTAAACAATAAATTCTCAAGTTACTTATAGTTTTTATATATTATCCTTGAAGTCTTTCTGCAAGAAACTATTTCCATATTTTGCTTCTGTATTTTTGAGGTTCACTAAAGTAAGCTAGAGAATACAAGTACATATATAAAGAGGCAAAAATCCAAACTGAACAATCCCGTATTACAATCACGATGCATTTCAATTCCACAAACTAAAGTAAAATAAAAAAGAAAGAAATGGAACCTCCTTTTTAAAGCATCACAAAATCCAGAAAAAATTGTAACTAAGATAAAGTTGACAACCAAATTAAATCTAGAGGAGGTATACCTTCTACAGGGTTAGTTTTACGAGCATAAAGTAAGTTCTCATAGACTCCCATATAAGTCTCATCCAATGAATCTGCTTTCCTCCCTCGGCCATGAACAACAGGTTCAAGAGCCTGAGACAGCAAAGTACAAAACCATACACCATATGTCATCAGCATAGTCATGCCAAAACATGATAAACTACCATCTATCCCACAATCATTGAGCTCATTCATAATTATTTAGAATGGGGCAAATATTCCCTTCAAATGGATAAAAATAATATTTCATATTAGACAATTTGCCCATTTAGGGAAATGAAGGATTGCATCATTTAAATTACACAAATAGGACATGCCATACAAAAACCTAAAACTCCATTGAGACAACAAATGGAAGTGATTTAATATGTATCAGAATCTATAGGGTTAATCAAATGTGGGAAACAAAGCTTGACTAATATTGAAAAAAAAAATGCACAATGTGAAGGGGTTCGACGGTAGAAATATGTCCAACAACAGTCATGATACAAACTTTAAACTAATTTGGTAAGAGAATATAACAGCAGCTATTATATCAAAAAATAAATAATCTATAGAGGCCACAATCCCACATCACCTGGGAAAGGAAAATGTGACTGATTAATAAGTTAAAGGACCACTCCCAGTATGAGGTTTTTTGGGCAAAAGCCCAGGACCAAAACCGTTCGTCTACATCTAAATTGGACGATATCTTACCATTTGGATTGGGATGTTACAAGTGGTATCAGAGCATTAATAATCCTATAGACAACTTTTTAAAAAAATCTAAATTTTTTACTATTACGTTAATGAATAATGTTCACAATGCTATTGTTCACTGCAGTTTAAAAAATAAATGATTTTTTATTACAAAAATTTAAAGAAAGAAAGGTAATATTTCCATCTAAGAAATAAGTTATGATTGTCAAGGGTAAGTTATTATTTTAGGAATATGAATTATATAATTTTAGACTGACACCGTTCTATTCACACTCCACGCTTCGATATCCTCAAATCAGGTATAATTGTACGAATATGTTTATGTGCCCTAGATATGTTTAAGATAGTATTATGCTAAAATTTATTATGAATTTATGTATGCATTAAGTGACACAATAAATGTCAATTTTAAACAACTACTTATGCATGAAATGCATGACAGAATTGTGGATTCTGATTTCAGATGTTACATGAGAATTTTATGGTTAGATTAGTTTATTGTTATGAACTATTTAAATCATTTGTCATTTTATTGCGTCGATGATTCCATGCAATTTTTTCTTTATTTTACTTTGAACTCTTAATTAAGTTTTAGTGATGCTAGGGAATTTATGACCCGGGTCATCACAAGTGATATCAGAGCCTAAACCCATCCAGAAGTGTGGCCAACAAGGACATTGGGTCACTAAGGTGGGGTGATTGTAGCGGCCAAAATCCCACATTGTCTAGGGAACGAAAATGTGACTGATTTATTACCGAAAGGATCACTCCCAATTGGGACGAGGCCTTTGGGTGAAAGCTCAAGAACAAAACAGTCAATGCTATGTCAATGAGCTTGAATAAGATTTCGAAGATCGTCGAAAATTGAATAAGATTCTGAAAATTGTCGAAGATTACGATGATATTATTATAATTGTATTAGATATTTTAGATTAGTTTATTGTTATGAACTTTTTAAATCATTTGTCATTTTATTGCGTCGATGATTCCATGCAATTTTTTCTTTATTTTACTTTGAACTCTTAATTAAGTTTTAGTGATGCTAGGGAATTTATGACCCGGATCATCACAAGTGATATCAGAGCCTAAACCCATCCAAAAGTGTGGCCAACAAGGACATTGGGTCACTAAGGTGATTGTAGCGGCCAAAATCCCACATTGTCTAGGGAACGAAAATGTGACTGATTTATTACCGAAAGGATCACTCCCAATTGGGACGAGGCCTTTGGGTGAAAGCTCAAGAACAAAACAGTCCATGCTATGTCAATGAGCTTGAATAAGATTTCGAAGATCGTCGAAGATTGAATAAGATTCCGAAAATTGTCGAAGATTACGATGATATTATTATAATTGTATTAGATATAGATAGATTGTTTGTACCATTAATTAATATTGTAATTGATTGCTTCCATATTTAGTTGTTATTTTAGTCATATTTAATGAAGGAACATTTCACAAAGAGGGCATCGAGTCTTTTATTGAGTATATTTGACATGGTATCAGAGCTGTTCCCATCCTAAACAAATTAACCCTTGAATTTCGTTTCCGGCGGGCTGCCTTGTGATGCTTGCCCCGGCCAATTTTATTTTTTGAATAAACACGATCATTTTTTGCAGTTCTACAAATTATAAGTCAATACATATCTCCACCTAANTACCGTATTGAGAAAGTAATTCAAAATCAGCATTTTTTTTCTTCTGAAAATTTACAAAAAAAAAATACTGTTCACCGTACTGTTCTCGAGTTACTGTTGTTCACACCCAAAAATTCATTTTCAGATTTTTCTTCAGTTCTGAAAAAAAATGTCGTTCGATGCTTCCCGTGTTTTTCAATTTACTTATATGTGAAAGCTTCATCTTTCCATCTTTACTTAATGCTTCAGAATTTGTTTTAGCTTTCTTTGTTTGCATTTCAGAGGGAGTATCAGTACTTGCAAATTCAACTGGTTGGCCAGCATCTACCACAGAACTATTATCAACATATTCCCACCGTTCTTTTTTGAGATTTAATTTCTCTTCATCTCCATCATTGTACAATATCTTGTGCTTCTTTTTGACAGAATCAAAAGAATCAATAATACCTTCATAAAACATGTGATCTTTTGGCCACCAGACCTCTCTAGTCCCGGATGCTTTGTCTGCGCCTGGAGTACCCTTTTTCTTGGTACTCATTCTTGGAGTTTCTTCCCGATTGCTTTCAACATTAGTTGATTTTTTTTTTTTTTTTTGAGAGCTCAAAGAAGCAACCATGTCTTTGGCATCATCTTTGTTAGAGCATTTCGATTTATCTTTATCTACTCTAGCTTTTACATGCTGATGTTAGCACAATATTGGATTTAAGAAAAAAAGGGATCATTTTTTGGTTGAGGAGAGAGATACACAGAAGTGCAGATCATCGCGTTTTGGTTGCTCAGGTGCTGAGCTCAAGTTTTGGATTCTCATAGGAGGATCATCTTTTTTTTTGGTGTAGGCTGTTTTGTGGGATTTCTTCCACCTGCAGCATCTGGAGTTGTGGCCGGTGTTTTGGCGTTAGAGCTTTTGTTGGAACGCGAATTATGTGGTCGACCAAGTTCTTCCGACGGATAGAGCTCACTGTGTGTGTTGACACACGTCGTAAATTTCTTTTTGGAAATTCTTCTTGGGGAATTTGAGTTCTCGTAGTTTCTCGTCGTTTCTCATAGTATTTTTGGAGTGTTCTGTCGGATCTCATAATATCTTTGGAGTGCTCTTGGAGTGGCTTTGGAATAATTCTTTGTTGTTTCTGCATTATTTATTGTTCTTGGTCTCTCGTCGTCGCTAATTTTAGTAGTTGGTTGCTTTGATTTGGATTTCTTCTTAGTGGGCACAAGTATCGTCACCGTCGCTAGTTCATGATTGCAAATTGATGTTTTTACCAGCATCAATTTGAGGGGAGATGTCAAGGAGCTTGAATAAGATTTCGAAGATCGTCGAACATTGAATAAAATTCCGAAAATCATCGAAAATTACGATTATATTATTATAATTGTATTAGATATAGATAGATTGTTTTTACCATTAATTAACATTGTAATTGATTGCTTCCGTGTTTAGTTGTTATTTTAGTCTTATTTAATGAGAGAACCTCTCACAAATAGAGACATCGAGTATTTTATTGAGTATATTTAACATGCTAGGCCCGCAGTGGACAACATCAAACACTCGGATGTTACATAATCACACAATGTAAAGAGAAAGAACGCCAAGTAAAATGGAAAAACAAAAGAAAGGAATGAAACTCACTTCAATCCTAGACATGCCATCTCCTAAAAAGGCACAAGCATTCTTGACATGGGCAATGTAATATGTATCACACAACCCACACTGGCTGCTCAAAACCAAAAAAGAAACCATTAGAAAAAATTGTATCTACCACCACCAGCAAAACTTCTTTATCCCCAAAAGAAACAAAGAATGTCACATAAACCGTCTACAAAATTCGATAAATGTAGGCCAAGATCATGATGATGCATAAATCTTGATGGTACAAGGGAATTTAACAATGCTGAAAAATATACTGTGAAAAAGTAAAGATTGCAGAATAAACTAACAAAAGAATACAATAATGGTAGTAGCGGCAAATCAAGAAGAACCTGCAGTGATCCTTGGCAGGGTAGGTGCCACCAGGAGGAATGGGTCTGGACCTTTGCCTCCAGTCATCTCTTAGTTTCACTGACTTTGGGTTTGTGCTTTCTGTGTATATATATTTAAAAAATTCCTTATACTAAGATATAAACAAGTACGCATAGACAGTACATGAAAGAAAGGGGTTGGTGGGGTGTACCTGTAGATGAAGAAACAACAGAGACGGTGAAGGGTGGAGAGAAGAGTGTTCCAGTAACCATAGCCATGGGAATAGAGGGAAAGTGTAGTGTCCAAGTGAAATTGAGCCGCAAGTACCTAGAGCAATGATATCAACAGCCATATCTAATACGACGTCGTATTCACGGAATTTGGGTTTTCCATTTTATTCGTTATTATTTTCATTTTCAACTTTTCAATTCTTGGATTTTTCTTTTTTCTTTTATTTCTAACTTTATTTTTCAACTGTCACGAACTTCAAACTTTCTCATATTACTTTTAAATTTATTTCCCAATAGTTTTTGAACTCTAAATTTCTTTCGAAATTTTGAAGTTATTTCCCAATAATAAATATATCCCAACAATTTTGAAAAGTTTATATCTATCACTTCATCGGCATCGCAAATCTTCAAAAGGAGACAGAATCACAAATGGAGAACATCATTGAAAGTACAGTTTATATTTATCACTTCATCGGCATCGCTAATCTTCAAAAGGAGACGGAATCACAAATGGAGAAAAGTACACTAACTATTCAAATATATTTTTATAAGAAACTTTTATTTCCACCGAAATAAAACAAATTTGTTTCACAAAATACATACAAGAAAAAAGAAGCAGCATAGAATGGATAGAATTCTCTCCTCATTTGTATTTACCAGACTTTTCCCTCAAAGTTCAGAAAGTTTCCCTTTAGGTCCCCACTAACATTTAACAGACCTAATGGACACAATTTACTCCAAAAAAAAATCTCACAATATACAATTTGCAGCCTCCATCTTGCCACCAACAAAAAAAAAGCAGGGCGTGAAGTAAAAATAAAATAAAATAATAAAAATCTGCACAAAAGCTCAACATGGAGACGTCTTATCATAAAATCAAACGTGGTTGCTGGATCTCCGTCGTGATGGCCTTCGTGGAAAAGCTTCATAATCCATCCCAATACCCGTTCCACAACCTAGTTGCGGGGGAAAGAATAATTATTAAGAGGGACATGAAAAGAATATATGACTTAATTAGTAGAAAAAACAAAGTTAATGACAAAAAATAGAATCTATTATTTCTTCTATCTAGTATTAACCGAAAATACAGGTAAAAAAGATTCAAATTTTAGTTTTCAGTTCACGACTGTAAAAATGTTGTTCGTGCAAAACTCGTAAATGTACGGGATCGTTGACAAGTAATACGTGATGGGTTAAGAGTTATCATCCCACGGGTAATAAATTTCAATCAAGTATATTGGTTATTATTCAGATTCAAAGTGAGCGAACAAAATAGAATTTTGGTTGATAATTACTTTAAATTATTATGCAAAAGCTTGTAAAATTCGAGTTTTTTATTTTTATGAAATGAATGTATTGGATTATGAATTCATCTAATATTATCTATTTCAATTCTTAATTATATAGTTAGTATCATTCATGCATTCTTGACAATTGATAAATATATTGTAATTAATTCTCTTTTTCAAGATAAATTAAATATATTCTCATTACGGCCCGAATATATTCCTAATCCTAATTCGAATGAATAGAACACATTAAAATTTAGATTATCTCTAAAGTTGCACACGTGATAAATATTATTCATAATATCTATTACAAGCATTTTAATCAAGCAATGTTCTAGACCTATTATGAGCCTCTCAGCACTAGACAAGGAACTATATATTTAATTGGTGATCAAACAATCAAATAATAAAATTATGCACGCAAAATTAATCAAGAAAAATAAGAAATTAAATAAGTACTTGTCTTGAATTAAAAATAAATAATATAAAAATAAATAATAACATGTTTCATTTTCATCTAATACATGAAAATAATTACCCTAACATATTGTAATGTAAATTACACAAAAATGTTTGGAAATAATCACCCGGAATGAAAAACAATGAAAGGAAAGTGAATTCAATCTCTTCTTCATTAATCTTCAATCCAAATTTTGAATCTTCAATCTCTTGTATTAATTGCATTTGAATCTTGTGCTAACCTCTTCCTTGTGGTGAAAAATATGATCTAATATGTTGCATATGTAGTTCACGCCGCTCTGCCCCCAAGAAATAGGTTAAATTTTATTTTTATAAGAATTTGGATAAAATAAGGAAACTGAGTCATTCAGACCCAAAAATGGCATGTGCGCATGAGAGAATTTGCATGTGCGCGCTCGCCGTTATACAATTTTCTATTTGTTGCACTTTGGTCCCCGAATTTCGTATTTTCTTGATCCTCCAACTCCATCTAATTAACTCTAACATCTCTCCAATCATCGATACTAGGTTCGAATCATCAATTAGCATTTTGCGATTTAGTCCCAAAACTTTGGATTAGGTCCACTTTAGCCAATTTTCTCTCATTTTCTTCAATTTCGTTGTTTTTCATCAAATGCACCTAACAAAGAAAATATATACAAAATTAAGCCTCAATTCATTTAAAATAACAATAATTGCTTTAGTTTAAAGGTATGGATAAGTGTATAAAATAGACTTATCAAATACCCTCAAACTTGAACAATTGTTTATTCTCAAACAAAAATAAAGCTACACAAAATTTCATAAATAACTTGGTTGGATAATCTGCATTTAGCCTCAATATTGGACTTTTAGAGTTGAAACTATAAACTACTTCAAAATCACAATGCTAAATCAATTTCTAAATATTCAATGCAAAACTAACATGTGTGTGAAGATTCATGTAAAGCATCACAAAGTTGTTCGCTAAAATCTATGCCGCAAGCGCACGGGTCGCGTTCAAGTAATAAAGTGGACCTTAAGAGTCCGGATTGTCGATCCCACGAGGAATGTATACTTTGGATTACACAACTTTAATCGATTTTAATTCTAACGACAAAAATAAACACACACATTTAAAAATAAGATTTAAAACTAACAATCTACAAAATAAGAAAATAAAGGTGTCTTGGCAAATTTCGGAGGGAAAAGTGTGGTTGGAATTTA